TTCCATGGCTTTATGTTCGAAAGCTTTAACACCGAAATGTCCTATAATCTCCACTTAAGTGATTTTGCGGAAATGGTCACCGCAAATGTCCTTCGTTACGTATGCAGATTGAAGTGAATGAATTTATGACAAACTTGCAGTTCAATAGTATATAAAGACATTTAACATCATCACAATACTACGGGGAACCTTATAATTATTTAGAAATTGCTCCCTGCGGATGTAAAATTTTTTTTCTGTTTTAATTTATAAAAATATGATAATTTTCATAAGAAGATATATAAATAAGTAAATTTTAACATATTATATTTATTAAAAAGTGGATCCATTTTTATAATAAAATTGTCATCAATTAAAATTGATAATTATACTCTGTGAAAATAATCTCTATTTTTAAAATAGGACATGAAATTTGAATAAATTTTTCCTATTCCTCATAGTCCTGTGGTATAAATTTAAACTTTTTTAAAATATTCCTCTCTTGATTATTCGTGATTGATGAGAATTTTTAAAGTTAGAAAAAAATGCGAATAGTCTGAGTAAGATTTTCAAACTGTGATTAATGGACTGGTGACAGTAAATCGTGAATTATTTAGCAAGAGGTTTTTACGCGTCATGTTGTTCTACAAAAGCGTCTCCAATTATTAATATTAATTATAAACCAGTAACGATTTTTTCTATTTAAATTAACCCCTCCCCCCTTCTTCTTCCCTTATACTTGCATTTACAAAATAAAGTAAATTTCAACAATGATATCATGAAGAAATATTGTAAAGCAACTTTTGATATATAATGTAAAATTTAAAAATTTTATAATTTCAGTTTGTTCTTTATTCGATCAGTTCTAATTACTTTCGTTTATAGTTGTAATTTATGATAGTAGTTGCAACTGTAACATCGTAATTTTTCTCTTACAAATTTTTCTATACTGATTGTATCAAAGTTAATACTAAATTTTTGCGTCTACAGATCGACTTGAAATTAGGAGAACTCGAATTTGCCTGGACCACCAGTCTAATGAGTTTTCTCGCCAGAGGAGAGGGAAACCTCTGAAACAAATATACTTTTATGTAACTCAAATAAATTATGTATATTTGGTTCAAATGAAATTTTTCTCTGTGTGTGATAGTTACATTTTTTGGGAGTTACAATTTATGGCATCATTTATAGCATTTATATTTTAACTACTATAAGTATAGTTACTACTTATACTACACACAACTACTGTATAGCTACAACTGATGTTATCACGATTGGCAGCTATTCAGGAACGATTCACCTAACTTTCACGGTTTCACTCTTAGAACGTAATGGCATAGCCAAAGTCTAACCTCAAGTGGGATAACCATCAGCAAGAGGTTTACTCTCGAGTAGGATAACCAACATTAAGAGGTCTAAGCCTCAAACGACATAGCCGTCAACCGTCTTAACCATAACCGTAAATACTACGAGCACTGTAAACATAATTTAATAATTTAGTTTTCTGAACATTTTACGACGTAGACTCGATCCTCTGACGACGACAGTTAATTCGATGCGTGACGACAGTATATCATGCCACATCCTATAATGCTTCGTTACATACTCGTTAACGTCATTATTCGAGAGAAGCCATGGCAAAACACTCGAATTATCATAAAATATACGTTGTTAATTACTCTGTAAAATTATTGGTTCAAATTCAATTGAGCCCTGTCCGACGAGCTTAATGTCTGACAGTCTAAATCAACTTTTAATATCACCTGAAATTAATATGGTAGTATAAAATAGTTACTGTACTATATACGTAATGGAAGTATGGCATCTATATGTGAAAGCAAATTAATTTGGAAAGCGCACGAAAAATCTATATTATGCATTATTTTATTGGTTATCTACTGAAATTGTCAAATTAATTCACCAGTGATAACTTTCGGCTGGTATGTACTGACTCTTATCACCCATTAAATTTAGCACGCTTGTGGTATTTAATTTAAGTTAATTGGTTTACAGTGTACAGTTGTTGGTAATTGATACTAACAAATAAATAAACTCTGAAAAAACTTTTCTTGATATTTGCCATACTTTTAATTATTTTAACCATACAATATTACTGGGTGTGCTACAGCCAAACAAATGCTAATTTACCCATGCGCATGGTAGTAACAGACAGCTCAAACATAATTTATTAACCAGAAGTTTATATAGATGAAATTCGGAAATCATTTCTTTTATTGTGATGATAGTTACGATTAATGATAATTACAATTGCTTATTGTTACAATAAGTGACGAGAAACAAATACCATAAATTTGATGCTATTTACAGTTGTTCATTATTTTAAAACTACATTTAAATTATCAAAAGATGATGCTATAAATTTCCCAACTAATGAATAATTTTGTCATTTTCTTTCCACCGCGATTTTTTCCTGGAGAGTCTTGAGACGAAGAGATTGGCCTGTCGATGGCAGGCAGCATTAATTGCGAATACAATTAATGTAAATTTCTAATCAATGAATATTAATGTACATGCCCTCAATAGGCTGGGATGTCATGGACACAAGAATTCCTGACATACCGTACCCCTGACGTGTATTACAGTTCGTGCACTTTGTGTATCAGGGTAGTATAACGTTTATGAAGATATAGTTTCACTATTTACTTCACTATATATGTTCCAACTATTCACACTTTAACCATCTCTGTGTATGCTAGTCTAGAACAATAAATAGCCTCTCGTAAGCTCTCACTCTGTAACGGTCTGCCGGATAAAGTCAAAATATTTCCAGTGCGAAGTAGCCGCATCGTGTCACACATGTTGTTTGTCAAATGGGGTCAAATCCTTATCAGTCGCGCGTTTATACAAGCTGAAGGAAATTGATTATCAAGCAACCCCTTAACAAAGTGTTTTACTCTATATCAATTTTAATTATTCCTTTAATTGATGTTGTCGTTTACTTTTCTTTTTGATTATTGCACTAGTTGGTTATTTTCTCAAATGAAGCACGCACTTGAGACAATTTTTTTGTAAAAGAAAATATTTTTTTATCCCAGAGGTACATAAATAGTGCTTTCAGATAGCAGACGACAGGGTAAAAAGGGTGTATGGTCCCTTGTGTTTTTTTAGTGCAATTTTACCGTATGCATGTTGCATGCAGTTTAGCGGTATACATTTTAACCATACAGTCTTTAATTTCTATTTAATAAAATTATTTCGAAAAATTAACTTGTGTGCAGTTTTACGTGTGCACTTTTACTTATTTATTTTCTAGAACTAATGTAAAAAAACTAATGTAAAATCTTACTTTAGAATATTCTATAATGAAAATATTTTCTTTAGTTATTCCTTAAAAATTTTTGTGTCAAAATGACTGAAAGAATATCCATAATTTTGGCTGTGTCAGAAGTACATTTTTTTCTGTGAATTGTTTCTAAAAAATATATAAAAATGATACTGCTCAATAAATTTCGGTAAAAAACGAGGTATTTCATCTTTGAGGTCCAGTTTCACCAACTCCGATTAAAAGTTATCAATGATTAAATCCTTAATCCACCAATCATGGGCGGTCAAACTGACTATAATCATTGATTAACTTTTAATCGGAGTTGGTGAAACTGACCCTAAATGAGTCTAAACAAACATCTTTCTTGGTTGTTTACCCTTTTTATTTAAAAATATTAGATTCATAGACATGTAGACATAAGACAGCAATGAATTCCGATCACCCTGCGATCGATGAAAAAATGTTCTTCATTGGAATTATTCCTTTTGTATTATGCTTCATTTTAGAGGCTCCAAGGTCTTTATAATATATATTAATTTTTTAGTGTTTGGTTTACGATAAAGGAATATATCAAACAATGTGAATCACTTTGAGAATCTAAACTTTATAGTTCTCTTTATACTCAAATTCTTATATAATCATCAAGACGAAAATGCTACATAAAATTTAAATTATCTCTGAAATTATTTTTAAATAAAAAAAATTAATCACTTTTTGGGAACAAAGCATGCAAAACAATAATCACGCATCACGATAATCTTGAGTGCATTTTAATAATTAATTTTCATTATTGCTTCCTCATAGGAAAAGTATTGTGTATATTAGATTATTCAAATTCAAAGGAAACTTTAATTACTTGATCCAACTAGTTTAACACACTTGAAGAGATTCGTTCTCAATTTTTTTTTCATTTCCAATTAAAATATTTTCAATTACTTGTACTTGTTATGAGAGAAAAATCGCGATTAATAGGATTTTCACGTAAATTGCAATTTCAAATTGAAAGAAGAGAAATTCTGTTTCTATTTTTGTCTAAAAAATTGTATGTACCTTTTGACCTCATTTGTGTGAAAAAACCAAGTTTTTGCAACAGTGACTACAAAAAATCTAATTAAAAAATGTTTTGTAGTTTACTTTTGTTTTTTGGAAATAGCAACCATTTCTGATAGAGTTCTGGGAAAGGGAGAAATTTAAATATAATAATATAAGGTTAATTTATATTAACGGCAGTTTGAAAACAATGGAAACTTTAGTACCAGTTTGTGGCAGTTTTGGTTTCCTGAATTATATTAGAAATTGTTTATTGATTCTACTAAAGGTAATTCGCAACTGAAAGTTCGAATTTGTATTTAGAGAATTTTTCTATTATGATGTGTTCAGTAATAATGTCTTTGATGTAAGTAAGCATTGACTCTCAGCGTCGAAAACTATTATTCGGAGATTTAAGAGACGAAATAAATGTAAATAATTTCACTGCTTTCATTCACTCAAGGAATTAACAATTTTTTAAAACTAGAACCTTTGAAAAAATAGTTTAATTTTTTTAATTACACGACGAAAGAAATTATTTTGACCGTCAAAGTAGGACAAGAAACTTTTTTGAGTTGAACTTTAAAAAAATATTTATTCAACTTAAACCATAAATACGCAAAAGGGCGAACAAAATGTTGTAATCCGATTTATAGTTTTCGATAAAAATGTGACTAAACAGATTGTTTTCTTTCTTTTGTTACAGAAAAATGGTCATGTGACGTAACTGGTTAGCACGCGAAGCGAATCATGAACGCTGATGGAAATGGTTCGCAAGAGGGTGGAACAGGGAATGATTATGGAAGCAGTGAGGAAACTGCCGCTCTGATAAGTAAGGCACCGCCGCCAGTTGTGGTGCCGCCGACACCACAGGGGAAGCCGGTGCTCACAAGACAAGACCGAGCAACATTTCTAGTAGCGTCACCCCAATTGTCGGTGTCGGGACTTGGTGGCTCCGAGGAAAGTGCCACTAACGAAGACCCCGCTACTAGATCGGTGCCCGACATAGAGCTGCATTGCAGGCTAGATAGTGATCCTCAACCTGTGGTGGCCCCGATCCCCCAATATTACCGGTCCAGACTCACGTCTTATCAGCACCGATGTCGTTGCGAAAGGAGGGACTCATTGGCCCCATCATCTGCCCTTCATTTGGCCAGAAGTGTTTCAAGGTAGGCCTGTTTCATTAAATACGAGAACGATCGCGCGCGTTTTTTCTCTTGCGCATTCCTTTTTTTAATATTTTAATTTTTTTAAAGAAAAGTACTTACAATGAGAATAATGGCGCAAATATAATAAATATTTTAAAGAAAAATTGAAAAAGAAATGTTTATGAGAATGATAATCAAGATCACCATCAGCAGTTGTAGTAAAAATTGCTGCAACTTCATTCACACTTTGTAAATTATAACGTTTACTATCCATCCCAGACTTTGATGAAAATAATAATTGCATCTCAGGTTCAATTTCTGCATTATTTTTAGTCATCGTTTTTTTAATTTCTTCATGCATCATACGGTAGGACTGTGCAAAAAGGTTACAATCCCGAAGGGCTGTATCTATTCCATCAACAATATCTCGGTTTAATTAAACATTTTATTCTTACAACGAATTTCGGAAGCTTCGTTTTGATCAACAATAAATAACTGTCCAAATGAAGGAGTATCGTTTCTTTGAGACGCATGCTTATTCCCGAAATCTTTTTTAACCAAATAGTTATTTGATATAAAACTACTTAAATTAAAATTCACATAATATGCACATTATTTGACATAAATTTCATTGCACACAAAAACCATTTAACATAAATATCATTTGTCATAGAATTCATTAAGCATAAATATTATGTTACATAAAACTCAGATAACTTAATTCCCATTTGACATAAAAATTTTGTAACATAAATTTCCATTGTCATAAAAATCATTTAACATAAATTTCTTTTGACATAAAACTTATTTAACGTAAATTTTATTTGTTATAAAATTCATTTGACATCAATTTCATTTGGCATAAATGTCATTTGACGTAATTCTTATTTGACATAAATACCCAGTAAAAAAACTAATTCAAACGGATTGAAATGAATTAAGATTTTGGTAGAAAGCGGTATTCATTCAAGCTCTTTGTATATTCGATTGAATTCGATTCAATTTGCCTGAAGTTGTGCAATCGAATTCGCATTAGTAAGAAATGACCAAGGCAAGCATTGAATTCGTGCTGACGAATTGAAAAAAATTAAAGGCCCCAAAACTTGTCCATTGAATTAGTATGAATAGAAGGTTTGGAAGTTCAATACAGTTTGACGAATTCAAGAAAATTGCAGCATGGCTCCAATTCGTATTTGTCACAAAGCGGGATTCACTTAAACTCTTTGTGAATTCTTTTTAACTTATTTCAATTAGTTTTTGTTTACTGGGTATCATTTGACATAAAATTTGCTTGACATAAATTTCATTTGACGTGAATATCATTTAACATAATTATTATTTAACGTAAAATTAAATTTATATAAATTTCATTTAGCATAAATTTTATTTAACATAATTCTCATTTGACATAAAATATACTTGACATAAATTTCATTTGGTATAAATCTCATTTAACATAATTTTCATTTGACATAAAGTTCACTTGATATCAATTTTATTTGACGGATAAGTCATTACACATAATTCTCATTTGACATAAAATTCAGATGTCATAGATTTGATTTTACATAAAGATCATTTGACCTAGAAATATAGGCGCGAATTTCAAAATTGTGGAATCACAATGTTGTTGATAATATCTAATTGGTTACTTTTAAAATTGGCGCCGATATTTTTATGTAAAATGTAATTTGTGTGAAATGATTTTTATGTCAAATGAGAATTTTGTTAAATGACTTTTATGATAAATGAGAATTGTGTTAAATGTCTTTTATATCAAATGAACTTTATGTCAAATGAAAATTATGTTAAATGGGATTTACAACAAATGAAATTTATGTCAAGTAAATTTTATGTCAAATGAGAATTATGTTAAATGGTATTTATGCTAAATGAAATTTATATAAATTTAATTTTACGTCAAATAATAATTATGTTAAATGATATTCACGTCAAATGAAATTCATGTCAAGCTAATTTTCTGTCTAATGATATTTATGTCAATTGAGAATTACGTTAAATGACATTTATGCCAAATGAAATTTATGTCAAATGAATTTTATAACAAATAAAATTTACGTTAAATGAGTTTTATGTTAAAAGAAATTTATGTTAAATGATTTTTATGTCAATAGAAATTTATGTTACATAATTTTTATGTCAAATGGGAATTAAGTTATCTGAGTTTTATGTAACATAATATTTCTGTTTAATGACAAATGATATTTATGTTAAATGGTTTTTGTGTGCAATGAAATTTATGTCAAATAATGTGCATATTATGTGAATTTTAAGTTAAGTAGTTTTATATCAAATAACTATTTGGTCAAAAAAGATTTCGGGAATAAGCATGCGTCTTGTTTCTTTCTGCATACAAAGATGTATTCATTTGATAATAAACCTGACCATGTATTTTGAAACAATATGGTCCTGGTCGTCTATTGGTAAAATTAACTAAGTTAGCGTTGAAAGAAGCAAAACCAAATGAATTATTGTAAGGTCGTATATATTATGAAAAAAATGCCCAGATAATTCGTGGGTGCCATCAAATAAATTTTGTAATATGAGTGGAGGAGCAGGTAGATCTTCAAGAATGACTTCGCCATGTTTACAACAATCATAAAATGAATTTTTTTTATTAGATACTCTTTCTGCTTGGAAATGTTTAGCATTACAATGCTCACATGAAATGTTCATCGCACCAGCAAAATGTTCTTCTATATGCGAGACTGAAATACTATCAGAGAAATTTAGATTCTGTGCAAAATTCCGTTTTTTCTTGGCGATGAGTTCTTTGATAAGCTGCATTTTTTTGACGACCAGAAATATTAGTATTTGATAAATTTGCTGTAACAGTTACATTATCTTTTGTTAAAGATTTATTAACAGTTGTAGAGGATTTTGCTGAATTTATATTTGGTTTAGCCACTGTAATAATACTATCCTTTGTTTGGATTGATTGAGGATTAAGAATTCTATTATTATCTTGTTTTTTTTGTTAAAACTTTTTTGGAAAAGCAGCTTTTTTTGACGTTACATGACTTGATGTTGTTTTTCTTCCTCTAAAGAACGTATTATTATTCTTTTTTTTACTTGATTTTCATTTTTTAAATTAGTATATTTTGTAACTCATGCATTGTAATTGTCTATTATTAAAAGTTTCCTCTGAACTGTTGATTTTTGAATTAATTGTTGCATTTTCAATAATTACATTATCTTTGTCTTTATAATTTCCTTTGTGTATTACTTCTCCTGATGTACTATTATTATTCTGCGTTGATGTTGAAGGCATACTTTGCAAACTTCTGTTTTTAATAATTTCTCCCTCAGTTCTATTAGTTTTTGATTTTATAAATAATTCACTGTTAACTTTATGTTCACAAAGTTTTACATAAGAATGATCACGTGTAATGTTCATTCCATTACAATAACCTGTCTCTATATGTGACTTTGAAATAATATCAGACTGATTTTGTTTTTGAACAGAAGTATGTTTATTTTGTCGAGAGGTGCGCTTGTAAGCAACATTTCTGTCACGAATTTACGTTTTAACTTTAGAAGTAGAAATATTTTCTTTTGCTGATGATAAAGCTGTGGATGTGCTTTGGGGCCTCGTATTTAAAGTTTGCTCTGCACTAATGAATTAATTAGAATCCAATGATTCAGAGCGAACAATTTTTTTTTCTCGCTTTTTTGGCGATGTTTTTTTTGATAAGCAGCTTTTTTGACGTTTTATGATTTTATATTCTTCTTCTTCTTCAGAAAAATGAACCATAGCTCTTTTTTCTCGTTGCTTCTCAGTTATTAGGGGAGAGTGGGGCAAAATGGGGTAGGCGGGTCAAATGGGGTACCTCTGTTTTTCCATGATAGGTACTTTTAATTTTTTTTTCCTCGACATATATTATTCATGTTGATAAGAAACTGTTATTAATTATGAAGACACTCCAAAGAAAAATTTTTTTTGAAAGTTATACAACTTTTAAGTTTTAAGCAAAAAAAATATGAATTTTTTTCAAAATTAAAGTGTTCACCAAACTTTTTGGGATAATGCATTTAATTTGGCAAGTGTGATATCTTTTTCAGTACTTATTCTAGAGTAATTTCCAATAGAATAGATTGTTTAATTGTTTACAATAACTTGTAAACATTGCATTTTGTTTTAATATGCAGTGTGGGGCAGAATGGGGTACCTAAGTGTGGGGCATGCCGGAAGCTACGCCGTTTCATTAAAACTATTTAAAAACATTATATTATGCATATTTAAAGGTTTCCTGCAGAAGAATCGATATTTTTGCTTCGAGCAATTTATACTATCGATGTTTCATTATCAGTATATCGATATTTTGCAATATCCATGTTTTTTTGTTAAATTCTAATAAATATTACTTGTTTTTTCATAATAATAAAGAATCCTACTTTTTGTTTGTATTTATAATCTCATACAACAAGAATTTAATGAATTTTGAAAAAATACTCAATGTTTTGTATAGTTATTTGATGCCACCCCATTTTGCCCCACGGGTGGGGCAAAATGGGATGTTAGCACTTTCTCTGAAAATACGATATAAGTTCTTTCAAAAATTTTTTTCTCCGCTATAATCATAATTTCCTCAAAGCTAAGTGTACAAAGAAGAATTCTGAAGTTTAGCTGAATCGATTTATTCGTTTGGTTCTCTGTAAACAGCCAATTTCAAAAAGGTACCCCATTTTGCCCCACTCTCCCCTATTAATCTTGTATCTTTCATTCCATTGCTTGAATCAATAGAAATATTATTAACATCATTTGCTGGAATTAAAGGCAAATTTTCTAAACAACTATCAACAACATTTTTTTTACAAACATTTCTGGTTGAATTCAACGATGATAAATTATTGTCAACAATTTTATTTTCCTCATTTTGGAAACTTTTTTCTCTAGCTCGATTCCTAAGATGACACTCCCAATTATATTCAACAGTCATAGTTCTAATATTAGTCGACCTTACTGACGGAAATTAACTTAAACGATTGTTTTTGAACAT